ATGTGTAAAAAAACAATGAGACAATTCACAGTCCCGTTAAAAGCGTATTTAACAGAAGCACACAGGCTTGATCCACAGCACCCGTGAAGCTTTGAAAGCTTTTATATGCACAGAAAACTGACATTTCCCACAAGAACATATATTTAACCTATAACAAACAGACAAGTGGCCGTGCGTAATTACGCATAGTTAACACTCCTTACCAAACCCAGCAACGGTCTCAGCTAAAGTTTCTGGTATGTGCCGCTACTTGATGTACCTGCCTGGCGTGTATTTTGTGTGTGCGACAGAAGAACACACACACGCGCACACACACACACACACACACACACAAACAAAGAGCTATGATAATTGCCCACAGAAACAGACGTGTTGATTACGTGTATGTCGCAAGATGCAAACAGCTTGGACAGTTTTCTGTGTAGGTGTAGGGCTTTTTTTTATTTTTTTAAATCTGCTAATCCACAAACACGTGCCAGAGCCTGTTTCTGATGGGTCATCAGTCTCAAATTAGCCCCTGTTTAGTCTATAGTCTGGTGTAGCCTTCTTAATTCCAGGCACACATAGGTTTTCAAAAGTGAGGCTACTAAAGGATGAATTTAATTAAAATACAAAATAGAAAAAGTGAAATAAGCACCAATATCTATGTGATGTTTCAGGGTTCAAAGATCCAACAGCAGTGATTTTCTTTGTAACATAAATGAAGCTTTAGTTATTAACTTTATATGTTTTAGAAAATATGCTTTACTTTCTTAATGAGAGTTGTATATAGAGGAAAGTTGTCACTTTGACGTCTGTATAGTGATTATAATATACCCCTTTGCAATATATAAAATGTCAAAGTATTAAAAACTGGCTCTTAAATACATATCTTCTGGCAAACATGTCTGTTTTTCAAATCAGTTAGCTTCACTCTTTTGGGCTTTGGCTAAAAGGAATTCAAATAGAATTAAATGGACAGGATTTGTAAATGAATAACATGTTCGGGGGCTTGATGCTGGAGCCAGCAGCTGGCTAATGTAGTTTAACATAAGGACTGGAAATGATGAAAACAGCTCGCCTCGCTCAATACCAAAGTCCACCAGCCTCTCCAAAGCACACTCCCTAATAGGCTGCATCATGCTGTAGCTTTTTTGTTTAATATAAAATAAACTATTTAATTATTGGTTGCACTTTCATTTACAAATTAAACATAATGTATTCAGTTATTTGCTTTAGAGGTGCTGGATAGGTTCCTCCTGACAGAACTGCACCAGCTGGTTCCACTTGTTTCTAACTTTTTGTTCTAAGCTAAGCTAAATGTCTGCAGCTTCATATTTAACACACAAACATTAACATCAATCTGTTCACGTTGTTCTTAGCAAAGAAGGAAATAGGTGCATTTCCCATAATGTTTAGTCGTTATTACACTGAGTTACACAGGTTTCCATCTGTTCTGAGGCTGCTGCAGGGTTAATGTTTATTGGATGGAAGGAAATGTAACGGACCCTACTGGCACACACGTACGCCCTTAGCAAACACACACACATACACACACACCCTGTGCTTGATAAAGTTATCTAAAGATTGTTGACTCTTTCTCCCAGCTTAGCGGCATTAAACAGTCTGAAAGAAAATACTGAGTTCAAACAACACAACTGACTTATTCTCACTCTCTGTCTTGACTGAAGGAGAAATACTGGGGTACTTTGGAACCCCCTCACTCCACCTCCCTAATGCACACATATACCCAAACACACACACACACACCTCATTCATTGGTGTTGGAGGAAGGAGGGGTGGGCAAACAATACAACATGAGATTAAATGTCCAGCCAGCAGCAGTCACCATGGAAACCATCATCATGGAGCAATAATTATGAAAGATTTAAAAGCACTGGAGAAATGCTGTCAACTGGTCTGTGAGCTGAAAACATCTGATCACCATAGGTTGTCTGAAGGATCCCTCTCTCCTTCATAGACATCCTTTGTGTGATATATTTTAACGGTACACAAGGCTATAGGTAAAACTGGTAGTTCCTCATGAAACTAAGTTCAGTGGAACAGTTTTTAATTGTAGGGTTAATGGTTCAACATCGAATCCAGATGCTCCTGGAAACAGCGATTGATTTCTGAATGAACAACAGGTATCTGAGTGCTGATCAATGAACTGGCATAGCATTTGATCATTTTACTTTCAAAGTAAGAGTTTTTACATAACTCTAACCGATGCCTTACAACACACAGGTCTAATAAGTTAAGTGCTCAGTGCCTGCAAATCACTGTCTTATTTATTTTTTATTGTTCTGGGATTTTACAAGGTCAGAATTTAAGACTTGAATGTTTTTTGCTTTCAGGTCTGTTTTGGTTAGTGTTAGATAATCGTTAGATAGAAATGTTTTTTTTTCTCAAATTACTGTTTTTATATCGTAATTTTAAAATCTTTGGGTTTTGAAATGTTGCCTTGAAAGAAGGATTTAAAATAGCACCTCGGATATTTCTCACTGTTTTCAGATACTGCGCACCTAACAGTTCATATGTTAATAAAGAAAACTCTCAGTTAAACCTATTAAATTAAGGTCTCATGTTTCTACAGCATAATGGAAACATTCAGGAGACATTATTTGTGTTTTGTAGGAGTAGAAAATATAGTTTTTTGGAAGAAATTCCATTTGCATCATCAGCATGAGCGCAATTAAAAACACAGCTGAAATACTAAAAGTAGCATTTGCAGATGTAGTAGCCAGTGTTGTAGTACTCATGTTTAGGACTCAGACTTGAGTAACGGGGACTTGACTCGAACTTGACTCAGACAACTTGTTGGTGACCCGAACTTGACGCAGACCTGAACACTGGGGACACGGGACTCAACTCAGACTCCAGGTTTAGTAAGTCGACTACAACACTGGTGGGAGCAGCATCTTTCTTTAGTTAGAATGTTATTTTAACAGTAAGGATAATGTAATGTCTGGGTATTGAACCTTGGCACTTTTTTGGTGCTGACTAAAACCAGGACTGTAGCACAAGTTTAAAAAAATGGTTCAAAATGTCATTTAGTTCCTGATTTAAATTATACCCAGCCCAAGTCACTGTAAAGTCATTATCAAAATCTGTGGAGGTTCTACGAGTCACATCTCTTCAGGGGATATAAAAGGGGACCAGCTACTGGCGCAGTGCACACAGAGCTGTCAGGGTGCGTCAGTATACCGTTACCTCTGCTGGTTGTTATGTGTTTTCATCTTTTTAGCTCATCGAGGAACTTCATTTGCATTCACATTTGAGTTTTATCTGCTCGAGGCCCTGCAGCATCAACTGATTCATTGTCTTCACTTGGCTGAACCACACCTGAACACACACACACACACACCACACACATCTTGTACATACTCAATAGTTGTACATACTGTATGTTGGAGGGTCAGTTGACTCTATGACTATAGATCCGTCATTTCTCTCTGTCTCCCTTTTTCAGGGGTGTTTTGTTATAGTGTGCCCATACACACCACAAGAACACAATTTCTTACGCATACACACACCCACATCCACACACAGACAGGCATCCACCTCTGTGGAGGTGGATTGTTTGAGGAAGGTACAGAGCTGGTGCTGCAAGACTGTCTGGTCCGACAAGTCTAACTGTAATGGAAATGTGTGTGTGTGTGTGTGTGTGTGTGTGTGTGTGTGTGTGTGTGTGGGCACATGTCTACATGCAAAAATAAGTTACACAAAACAAAAGGCTAAATGTGCACACCCACACCCACACACACACAAATACATGCACATATTGAACTCTGTGTGTTTGCTAATTGAGAGACTGTGCAAATATGAAGGGGCGCAGGCCGACTGCCTATTGTGAAACTAGAGTACAGCAAATATCTGTCATGGCATCGTTCTCTCTCTCTGCTCTGCCTTCTCACCCTCGGTTCCCTTTGTTTTCCAGTTTTAAAGAGATTTCTTGTCTTTGTAAACCTGTTGTTTTAGTTATGAATCCTATGTTGCACACTGGCAACTGTAACAACAAAGACCTAAAAATATAAATGGCAAGTTTAAAAACTTGATTGATTTTCACTCGTTTCTATTTTCCTTTTATTGATTTATCGCTGCACAGGATGTGAGGTGCTATAAAATTCATACAGAAGCCAATTTAGTGATTTAGATGACAATTATTATTATTAACCATAATCATTTGATTATCAGAGCAGCTGCCAATTAATATTCTGTTGCTCTACCAATCAGTTAATGGACTAAACATTTCATCTTATTTCCCCTTTAATAATAATGAGAAGCAAATGGTAAAATATACAGTAAACTCCATGTAAAACATGCGTGTAAAAGTAATAGTAAAACTAAATCCAGTAAAATAAACGGACCAAGTAAAATCAAGATAGTGTTCTTTACAATAAGGTTGTATTTTAGAAAGAGATTTGCATCAAAATATGACTTTTCACCTCTCTCCTTTATAGTCTCCATCTTTCCTCCATCTGTCCTGAAGATGGAGGCTGAAGCCAGCCCTGCTGAGATGACACCGCTCTGCCTCAGCAAACATCCAGTATCTGACACGCGAATGCACGCTGAGCTGCCGTCCAGCACGGTCTTGGGCCGACCACAGAGCCCGGTAGATTCATCTGAGGAGAGGTCAGAGGTCAGGAGGAGGTCGCAGGGTGGCTCCACATATGTGCGATCCAAAATCAAGGTGAGGGAACAAGTAGGAACTCAGTGTGAAAAATATTGGTGGGGGTATTTCCATACTATGTTTATTATATATATATTTTTAATACATTACATTCAAACCATGGCTGCTTTGCCTGCAGCTCTTTGTTTTTGTAGAGAAGTTTGAGCTGTTTCTTCTTGTATCATTAGAGGACAGTGGTCACTCTCAAAGTGTTAACGTTTCTTAAATTTTCAAACTTTCCCATGCTAGTTCTGACTATAAGCAGGGAGGAATTTGTGGATATAAAATGGACATCTCTCAGTCAAAATTTTAAATGCATCTCCTAAAGAGCCGCTTAACTGGCTCAGGTAATAATTAGATGTGTGCTAATAGCTATTAATGATTTCATTTTGGATTAAAGCTCAGCACTGTTGCATCTAAAATGCTCGTATTTAGGAAAATCTTGGTTTTATAATTACAAAGAAATGAATTTAAAATATTTTACCAATGCTAGTAATAAATGTGTTGTCCTCTCTTTCCACCACAGGTAACTACAGGCGAGTTACCCTGCAACCCCTCTCCTCCTTCTCTCTCTCTTCCTCATATTCCTACCCCACCACCTATGAACTCAAACGCTACTCTGATGCCTGTTGCCTCGACGTCAACCCCCATCACCCTGGAGGCGGTCTCCACGGTGACCAGATCAGCAGGTCAAAGTCAAAGTTTGTCGATGGGGACTACAGTGACCTATGTGTGTCAGGTATGCCATCAAGACTAGAGCTCCAGTTTTGTTCAAGCTACAGCTGAAATCCAGGATGCTTTAATTTTAAGTTTACTCTGAATGCTCTTCATTCTCTGCTGTTTAGAAGTGTTTATGAAATACTGATTGACATTGCCAATAAAGTAAATGATATAGGGGAAATAAAATACACTCATTGTATTTGTCAGGCATCACAAAATCATTTGTTGAAAAACACTGAATGCAGATATAATTTTGATTGTTTACAAGAAAACTCCACATGGTATCTTTAATGTTGTAACTGTGCAATAAGCCCCTCAGATGGCTGAATCCCAAAGTAAAGTGAAATGGCCCTGATTGTGTTTTGTTGCATGTAGGTTTGCCAGAAGACATTCCAGTTCCAGCGAATGTTAAACAGACATGTCAAGTGTCACAACGAGACAAAGAGACACCTGTGCGATTTCTGCGGCAAAGGCTTTAATGACACCTTTGACCTCAAGAGACACGTACGCACACACACAGGTAGCTACACGCGACACAATCCTGTAAACACAGAGGTAACAAATAGAAGAAATCTCATTACTTTTATATATATTTTAAATAGGTGTCCGTCCCTACAAGTGCACCCTCTGCGAGAAGGCCTTCACCCAGCGCTGCTCCCTAGAGTCCCACATGAAGAAGATCCACAGCATCACCCTGAAGTATGCCTACAAGGAGCGGCGCAATAAGCTGTATGTGTGCGAGGAATGTGGCCACACGGCAGGAACGCAGGACGAACTGCTGATTCACCTCCACTCCCTTCACCCCAACAGCCCCCTGTTGAAGGGGAAGGCTGCAAGGAGAACAGGGGGGGGAAGAGATGGACAGTCAGCGGGAGGGTCCATGCCAGACTCTCCTCAAGGACCTGATAGTGATGATACCACCGGATCAGCAGGGCAGTAGAGGGGAGGAAGGCCAGAAAGATCAGATCATCAAAATAAGCTCAGAGGGATGGATGAAGGATGGGTGGATGCATTAAATGATGGATGTCTGAATGAAGTGACACAATACAGGTGGTTGACGAGTCAGATTACACTGCAACAGGGAAGGTAAATGTACTGTGTGTAAAAATGTACATATTTATAAATGTGTGTGAATTTGGGCATCTGTACTGTATATAAAGATGATTAAGGTTAAAATCATGCTCCAAGCATGGCCAAGACTTTGACTAATATATATTTTTAAATAAGATTGTGATGGATGTGGATGAGCTCATTATCATATGTGACAGTACCAACATATATTTTTGGTTTTATATTGGTTATGGACATTACCAGTGGGCTATATAGAAGTATACATATTTTCTATTAAAAAACCTATTAAAGGAAATTATATATTGCACAATAATTCTTTTTTGCTTGTTTTTTGTGTGAGATAGAACTGGTAGAAAGGTGGTATAGTTTAAGACCAGAGGATTTCAAAGAATATGTTGAGAAATTCTAAACGGACTATTTCACAGGCTGCAAGTTTGTAAATGATTGCTTCAAGAAATGAGGCTACTGGTTAGCATAAACAACTTACCCTCATTTGGTGAGGATTTATAGAAATGCCAACAACCTGCAGTGGTTTTGCACGTTCCCTGACCAACAGCCTTGTCGATAGGTTTTCTAGGTAGCCAGCAAAATGTTAAAATGCCAGGCACATAGCATCCCCTAAAACCACAAATTGTTAATAAATATTTAGTAGAGTTTGGACTGTGTGACATATCATATTTAAGCTGCTTGCTTTTATTATAGAAATACTTTGGAATTCACAAAAGAAACACAAATCCACAAAGTACCTTATTTTGCCTTTCAGTCCAGCCAAGCCCCAGTTTGCACTTGAATGTGTTTTATTTGCTTCAGTAAAGTGAATTGTGCTTTATGTGAGCTCTTCAAAGTGTGTGAGTGCATGAAAGATGGCTGTGTGTGGTTTACAAGGAGAGAGACAGTGGCTAGAAGGGTGAGGTTGAATTCCTGGTCTCTGTTTGGTCTTGTTGGAGGATTCCAGCAAACTCCCATCAGCCTGAGGATACATGGAGGCGGATTGAGATGACAGCTACATAACGGTCTCTAACTGACACTGATTGTATTAAAGAAGGATGAAAGTCATTTGATTATTTAGCTAGGACTCGTTTGAGGTTTTACAGACCAAACAACAGAATTTTAATACAGAAAATTATTATTATTATTATTATTATTATTAAATTATACAAATGAAAATAACTCGGCTGCAATCCTAATTATTTGTTCTATTGTTTTGTTACTTTTATAAATAAAATGACTATTTTTTAAGACAGTATAAGTCCATCATACACTGTATATCCACATTCACATTTTTGTGCAAAGAGGAATTCTTATAGCCTAAATACAAATACAGTAGGCTAGTTATTGTTCTCTTTAGTCATTCATTCATCATATTTTGCATCTTCATACAACAAATAATTAACTTGCTTGTAAATTTCCACATTCTTCTATTTATTTATTCATTCATGTACATGTTTGTCCTCCATATTGTTCATCCCCCTTTTTTAATAAACCTTTATTGGAAGATACAGAGATGCTTGTATTTCCACATTCTTCACAGGGTTGAGCAAGATAATATAATGTGAACTGAGTGAGGTTTTTAATAGTAAGTAGAGGCCGTTCTGATCCACACTCCAGTCTAGAAGGTGGCGGTAATGCACCTAAAGTTGTTTGCCAACCGCCATTAAACCACAGAAGAAGAAAAGGGAGCAGCAGAAGAAGAAGAAACTTTATTGGAACCATCGTTCAAACATTGCATCTCGTGCCAGCGGAAATAACATCATATTGCTCATCTCATTGCCTGTTATATTTTAATTATTAGTTTTGCAGCCAGATGTTCATATGCTCCATATACCTCGCCACCTTCTCTTGATCACGTGACTATGTGAACAAGGAAGTGTTCCGTGTCTTTGAATACAAGGCGCCAGTGGCTCCTCTAAATACACGAGTTAAAGGTAAACCCAATTTCCAGGCACTGACATGACTGTGGTTTTCTCTGGTCAACTTTCTACATATGTTGCTTGCTACTTGTATATTTTGTGGTTTGTTTGCGAAGACGTTCATACAAGGCAGACTGCTAATAGGGTCTGCTAACGTTAGCTCAAGTTAGCTAAATTGCAGGACACCTATTTCTTATTAGCACCAAATTGTCTTTATTGTTACCTGTTATCTTGTTATAGTGTGGCAAGAGGAGACGTGTTATTTTATTAGTTTACCGTGTCATTTCTTTCAGATCACATCCTGAATTATGTCAACTTCGGAGCCGGTTCTTTTGGGTCGGAAACGTGCCCTGCCGTCCTGCCCGAACCCGCTGTTCTTAAAGTGGCTCACCGAGCTCCGTGACGAGGCGAAAGAGAAGAGACAAAAGACCCAGTACACCTATCAGAAGGTTAAGAGCAGTAGACAGATAAAAGATCATATATTCTAGAAATATACAACAGGCTTGTTTTTTTTTTTCTCAGGCCATCAGCTCTTTGAATAAATATCCATTACCACTACAAAACGCCAAAGAAGCAAAGATCCTCCAGAACTTTGGAGACGGCATCTGTAAAATACTGGATGAAAAACTTCAACAATACTATAGAGAGAATGGTAAGGACCAGATGGATGTGTGGATTAATTGAGGTCTCTCTAGCTTCCCTCCCACCTTACCTCTTCTTTATTTTACCTCTTCTAATTATGAAAAACAGAAGTTGGGAATTTAACTTCATTATGTGAAGAAGGTGAGAACATTCCTAAAACAGTGGAAGGCGTAATCCCAAACTGACAGGTAGAAATTGGCTTAAAGTTCTAAAAGAAACATTTTTAATGACATCTGACAGATATATTTTAAAGGCATACAAACCTGTGTGTGTATGGGTGTGTCACTGTGCTGCTGTACCCATGTGTCTTACTGTCTACCTGTGTGTTACTGTGTTGCTTTGACTGTGTATGTTTTTATGTGATATGATTTTAAAAGATTGTAGGAAGCAGACAGATGAATTTTCCATCTCATTTTCAGCCATTTATCTGATTAGAACCATATTGCAGAATAAAGTGAATGAAAGCTGTTTGATATATTTAATCTATTCATTACAGTTAGAGGAATCCTGTTTAGTGAACTTTAAAGCTAAGTAATCTTAAAGTATGTTGGCGTAATCACTTTACACAGGCAATAGCACTAGCTCCTCCATCACCCCCCTCTTTTTTTGCCCTCACCTGATCCAGGATCAGAAGCTCCTATTCACAATCTCCCTAAAGGAGCGCCCCCTCCTGGCAGACCAGACAACAGCGTGGCTCCTTCCAGAAAGGTAATTAAGGAGTTTGTCTCACTGTGTACCAGGGATTCTTGAAAATGTATTAACTTCTCATTTAACATATAAGATAGAAAAAAACCTGCTGCACACACGTTTAGCGTAGCAGGAGTATTTGTAGTTTTGATAAAAAGCCCTTTATTGGTTATATGGTTCATACATGACAGCTTAAATGGATATGTAAACATTGTCAGTTACTTTACATCATATGATCTTTAAACTTTCATTTGTTTTCTTGTGTGATGTATATCTGTTTAGAAGAATGCTGCAGGGGATCAAGGGAAGGACAGAGGAGGAGGAGGACGAGGAGGGAGGAAGAAGAGGGAGTACATGCCTCAGAGGAGATCTGGGGGTTATGCTGTCCTGCTCACCCTTTACAGACAGTCACAGGTACACTTTTGTTTTCCTACCACTGTTAGTTTCAGTATATTCTGATGTGGTCTCAGTAATCATCATCTCTGTCTGTCCAGATCCCGGGTAGTAAAGGTTATATGTTTAAACTAGAGCTACAAGCTGAAGCCCAGCTCCTCTGTGATAAATCTTTCACCGTGGTAAGCAAAATATCAACAACACAACATGGATACCTTGATTTCAAAGACATTTGCTTACTCTAATCCCTGATCCTTGACTTTGCTCTGCCTGTAGCCAGATCTGGGCAGTAAATACACCGCCTGGTCTTCCGTCAGTACTCTGGTTCAGAAGAGCCTGGTGATGAAGACCCACAACCCTGCAAGGTACATGGGACACAGTTGTGGAAGCGCTTATACAAGAAACCTAAAGCAGTAAAGCCTGTTTCTCCTCTGGAAACTGTCAGGAGAACTTTGTAGTAGACACTGTCTGAAACACGTTTTGCCCAATAAATATATATGTGAAGTTATAAATAAAAGTAAAATATAAATATTGCCATGTAATTAAACTTATTTTTGATACTATTTATGGTCAGCATTTTTCAGCAATAGCCATTCAGTGTATTTAGATACATACTATACTTAATGTTGGATTTAAATTATCTTCAAGAGATTCATTCATGATACACCTTGCATTAGTAACTTTATCGCATTGATAATCCAGTGTTTCCCATACATTGGCTTATTTGTGGCGGGCCACCACATTATCACCACATTATCAACATTGCCCACCAACAGTCGAGCGAGGCACAGTCAATGTTGTCAACATTGACTGTGCCTCGCTCTATTTCTCTCTCTCTCACTCACACACGACAACCATGTTTGTTTGTTTTTTTAAACACTGTCAAATGTGGAAACCCAACTTTTCTAATATGTTATTAGCAAAATAGTAAGGCTGCGTAAGCTAATGTAAGCACGCTGTATATAGCATGGGTATATACAGTATGGACTACTCTGCAAGTGGATAAAGTTGATGCTAATTCTTTAACTCTGACTCTGAATGTTTGGCCTCCTCAGTCCAGGGGAATATCTCAAAACACAAGTGGGAAAGCTGATCAGTCCAACCAGTGTGATTAGCGATCCATTTAATTAATTTTGAGTATTTACTGACTGTTTTCTTTTCTCTCTTAGGTATTCTCTGACAGAAGAAGGTCTGGCTTTGGCAGAGCGACTGGAGTCAGTAGAACGAGAGAGAAAAGATGGCCCTGAGCAGGGCCGAGAGAGGCTTAGGGGTGAAGGAGAGGAGGGAAGTGGCCCTGAAGTTGTGGACCTCACTGGTAGTGATGAAGAAGAGAAGGAAAAGGTCAATGAACAGTGAGTAGATGCTGGATAAGTGACATCTTCATCTTCTGTTTGTCTTCATCCCAGAACAAAACAAGTTTTTTCTTTCCAGCCCTACAGAGATGCTGGCCTCTGTTGCCCAGCCAGCGAGCAAAGGGGATCGGGTGTTTTGTTCAGGAAAAGCCCAGGAACCACAGGCTGTGAGCAGAAAGCCAAATGGAGAATGTCTGCCACCTGGATCCTATGACATTGTACTGTGTGTGGACTTTATTGAGACTACTGGGTAAGAGAGCCGTCTGGGTGTCTGTGTCAATCAAATATGCAGCAATCTGTGTGCGGTTTTACGGACTTAGAAAACAGGGTGTTTTACAAAGCTGTGTTCTCATCCTGAAGGTTTCTCTGTGTACATTTCACGAGATGTTGATGTGTTTGTGCAGCGGCACCGGTCACCGTAAGCAGGAGCTAGTCAAAGAGCTTCGGAGAAATGGAGTGAACTTCGACATTAGGAAGCTAAACGTCGGAGACTTCCTGTGGGTGGCTCGGGAGAAGGTGGCGCCTGTTCCAGGTGACACACACACACACACACACGAAGTCAAAACTTTCTTTCACCTGAGAGAAAGTGACTCAATGATGTAACTTTACCTTAACTCAGCTGAGAGAAAGACAAACTTTTTCAAGCGGGGCTAAGTGTTCAGCTTCCAAACAGATATGACAGTCAGCAGTATGATGCATAGTCTGTTAGAAGACGTCAAGAGAGACACCAGCATAGTCCTGGCTAAAACTAATCATTCATTCATTCATTTTCTACTGCTTAGTCCCTGAACGGGGTCACGGGGGGGCTGGAGCCAATCCCAGCCATCAATCGGGCGAAGGCGGGGTACACCCTGGACAGGTCGCAGGGCTAACACAGAGACGACCAACCACACACACACGCACACACACACACTCCAATTTAGAGACACCAATCAACCTAAGCTGCATGTCTTTGGATTGTGGGAGGAAGCCGGAGTACCCGGAGAGAACCCACGCAAGCACGGGGAGAACATGCAAACTCCACACAGAAAGGTCCCGGGTGGGGCCCGAACCCAGAACCTTAAAACTAATCACAGCTTCTTTAATTATGCCCCCTTTTTTAAATCAAGAACGGTGTCATCAGCATGCATCTGTAATGTCAGTCCACTTAGTTTTCACATAGTCTTGTGTAGCTCTCAACGTTTGATTTAAGTCTGAATTTGGGGCTTGTTTGAGCATCTTTTTTTTGTGCAGTGTTTATATACCATGGGTAAGTGGAACTATTGTTATACTATTCTCATTATTGTATCACTACAACACTTTTCACTAATCTTATCTCTGGCTAACACAAAAACGTTCATTCCCAAACTGTATGTTGAACACAAAATACAATAGTATGCAATACAACAAGAATTCTGGAGAATGGTCAAACATGGATAAAATGCTTCGTATAAATAAGAATGCATTATAGTCTCATGTTTTCCTGTCTGTTCCCAGGTCAGTTGCGAGGCCCTGTAAGCAGGGAGCTCGTTCTTGACTACATTATCGAGAGGAAGAGGATGGATGACCTGTGTGGTAGCATCATTGACGGACGCTTCAGGGAACAGAAGGTGCTAGTTGTGCATATTTTCCTTGTTATTTGTTGGATTCAGTTTAGTCTGTCATCCAACATGAAGTCTTTAGCAGCCAATAAACTATTTTACTTGTTAATGATTCAGTGGATAAATGCCAAAATGTTTTGTAAAGCAGAAACAATGACCCCAAACTCTCAATGTGCTCATAAGTTTGTGAAGATGCTTTTGGTTTCTGCAAATGTGATTGTGATAAAACCAACCAATTGTCTGGTACTGGGTATAACCATAGTCTATCTTTCTCCTCTTTATCCCTTCTGTTCTGCCCTCAATCAGTTCCGACTCAAGAGATGCGGTCTTCGTAGGCCAGTCTATCTGGTAGAGGAATGTGGGGCTGCTGCCTCACACCTGAGTTTACCTGAGGCTACACTGCAGCAGGCCATAGTCAACACACAGGTGCAAGCACACCCAATGCTACACTTACATGTCAGTTTACTGTGGACTACATTAGAGCCTGAGCAATATACGGGCTGGTATTACTTGTTGAACACAGACACTGGGATTAGAGCTGCAATGATGGTTCAGAAATCCAGGCTCTAGTGTAGACAACACCTGAACATGCGTCATTACATTGGTTATTGACTCACCTCCCAACTCTTTGCTCAAACATGCTACAAATAAGTAAAAACAACTGTTACAAGGGATTACTGTGGTTTTGTGCACTTATCATTTGTTTTAGGTAGTTGACCGCTTTTTTGTGAAGAGAGTTCAAGATGTGAGGGAGTCGGCAGCCTACCTCACCGTCATGACACGACATCTGACTAAACTGTACCAGGTGAAACACACACCCACACTGTCCTAAAAGACGAGCTGGTGTTAATGTTAACAAATCCCATGAAAACACAAAAAACGGTCCTTTCAACTTGCCTACCCTGACCGTGGCACCGACCGGCTCCCACTGAAGACGTAATCCCTCCCAGAGCTAAATAAAAACAGCTGAGTACTTTTTTTTTTTTTTTTTTTTTTTTTAAAGCAGACATTACTCAAACAGCAGCATGTAGTGCATCAGTTGGGGACTATTTTCAGTTCTCCAATGAACTGTAAGTTGGACTGAACCCAAATTAATCCACCCAGTGTAAACAAGTTGGATACTACAAATAGTGTCAGTTTGACTGCAGTGGGGATCTGTGGCACAAAGGAATACAATATATCTGGTTTTGTATATAAAGAAACTATTTGTTAGTAGGATTAAAGTTACAATGCTGCTTTGTCAAGTAGTGCTCAGACAACCCTGAGCCAGGCCACTGACTCGCCTCCTCCTTAACTGACTAATGCTTTACACTTTCCTTATTCCAGAATCGTACGCTGATCTGCCGCTCCAGAGAGCTGGAGGGTGATGGGGGGAGTGATGAGGAGGAGAGAGGGGTCCCATCCTGCTCTCTCATTTCTTTTGCCGAGTTCAACCTTGATGCAGTCAAAAACAAGGTGTGCACTTGTGTGTGAGCCCCATTTTCATTCACCTGCTTTAATCACTTTGAACTTGCACTTCAAGAAATACTGCAAAAACTCTACTATTTTTTGACTAAACAGTGGAATACAGTATTGCCCTTTCTTATAGCTTTGGTTGTGAATACTGTATACAAATCCTGATTTCCCTCTTTCCTTTTCCAGTGTCAGACAGTGAGAGACGTGTTTGCCAGACAGTTGATGCAGATTAGTGGGTTGTCTGGAGACAAGGCTGCAGCTATACTGGAGAACTACAGCACTCCACACAGGTAACTCACATGTAATATCAATACTTCACTCACCACATTCTGACATATTCCCTCCATCTTTTATTCCTGGTAGGTTTTGTAGGTCTATCCTTTGGTGCAACAGGAAGTGATACACATGATTTTGAGCAACATAGGTTCATTTAAACGAAGAACAGGCATCGCCTTCAGAAAGTCACCAAGGAAAAGATTTCTGCCCGGGTTTTGGTCCACTACGTAGCCTTTTTACTGGGAATTCAGACATAAAGCGAGATGTGAGCAGAACAGCAGCTGGATGCTCTCCACTAGGCTGCCCCACATGAGAAATGTACTGGATAAAAATTTGTTTCATGTAGGATCATCAGGAAGAAATCAGAATGGTTTTAGGAATGAATCTATTAATGGTGCTTTATTTCCCCAGTTTGACACAAAGGGAGGGGGAGAGTGAAAACAACATATGAGTAAAGTTTGGAACAGAAAACAACTGGGAATTTGAGTGATGTCTGAGATTAAGCTTCTAAAGAGGATTATGACCTGTGTACTGTTAAAGTCCTGAATTTTTTACATTCTCTTCAGTACACTTCACTAAATGTGTCAGAGGAAAAGAAAAATAAACCTGAAGCAACACTAGAAAATATTACAGGAGATGGGAAGTGAAGGACGCACTTGTGTGAGACCAGACTGACCAAAAATGTCACCATAATACGTAAAGAACAACATTCAGGAATACTCCTAGATACTGCAAGTGATGTTTTCTAATCTTTCTGCCTCTCTTCTCTCTCAATCTCAGTCTTCTCACTGCCTATGAACAGTGTGCAAATGAAGCAGAGAGGGAGAAACTCCTCTCTTCCATACGATACGGGAAGCTGAAAAGGTTTGTTGTGTGTTTCTCTTCTGTTCTAATTATTCATTTAGAATTTGTCAATGAATAGGTTCAGGATTTTTCAAGTTCGCCTTAAACAATATTGACATACCTATATGAAGGTGAAAATAGGTTTTAGTTGCTGTAACTTCTACTCTGTACACAGGCTTTGAAAGTTTCCACCTGGAATGTGAGTACACTCTTAAAACAAACAAAAAAAAAAATCACTCCAAAGTTCCTCAAAGGCTCAAATGAGACTTCAGCTGACCCATTAGGCTAATTGGAGTCTGTATCTGTCAAAGTTAGTCTAAGACAAATTTGACTTTTTGTTCCCTGGAAAGTTCCTTGCTGGGCTGTGGCTGAGGGATACGTTCTAATAGTCGCATGTAGGTTGTTAACAGAAGTGTCTTTTTCAAATGTGTTGCAAACCGAGAGAATTAGAAAAGCAATAGAACAGATATATGGGGGAAGGGTGGCACACAGAGGGAGGGAGGATATTTTAGGATATCTCAGGGCAAATCTGTGGAACACCCTGGTTAAATACAGTCACGAACAATGTTCTCACACCTGTGATGTACAGATGAGGTGACTCTGAAAGGTGACAAATATAATCCAGACACAGATTCAGAGCAGGTTTTACCAGTGTCCCAAAACCACAAAATATTCCAGCTATGAAATCTGCGAAGTACACCCTCACTTTAAAGTTAACTCTAAGCACAACTTGAGAAGTAAACACCAGTCATCACCAACAAACTCTACACCCGACTTAGAACATATCCCTCCACCACAGCTCAGCAAGAAACTACTATCGTAGGAGACCAATTTGTCTTAAATGGAGTGAAACGCTGAAAGATACCAACACAAATTTAGCTTAAGCTGCATTTGAGCTTCAGATGAACTCTGGAGTACGTTTTTACACAGAACGAGGGCTGTGTACTTCTTCCATTGTTTACAGTGGTTGCACTCCCGGTCCCTGTGGAGAGTAGAAGTTAGTGACTGAAACTTTTTCCTCACATACATATGGAAACTTCAATATTGTTTTAAGACCAACTTGAAAAATCCTGAACAGGTCAAAAGTCTATACTACTATGACTTCACTGAAAACGTATAGAATAAGAAGTTACTGTTAAAAGTACTCAATATCAACAAACTGTTTAGATGTCATTGCTTGGGGCTTATGAAACCCTTAAGGGAAACCGTCAAACAAGACCATATAAAATAAACCAACTTAAAAGAGCTACTTGGAGGCAGTAACAGGCATGATGGCGCCTAGCTAACGTTCTTTGCTTTTCCAGAAACTTGGGTCCAGCTCTGAGCAGAACACTGTATCAGCTGTACTGTACACAAGGAGCACTGACATAGATGTGCACAGTCACAGATGAACATTATTTATATTACTCATTTTCTCTGTCAATGTAAAGATGCCCTTCCTACTGAAAACTCAAGACTAATACTGTACATATCCTGATTGGAGCAATAAAGTATATTTTGACTAGTGCAAGTGTTAAGTTGTCAACTTTGTTTCTCCATTTGCAAATCGTACTTACCCACAGTGGCGATGGCATGATTGAGAAGGTGGTTCACCCAGAGCCGGGCTCAGTCAGTGCACTGCAGCTGTACTGGCCTCTTTTGATGGGGGAAAAAGACAAGAGGTAGAATAAAATATACACACAAAATACTGGAACACTCCAGCAATCGGGTTGTCAAATAAAGAGTCTGACAGCCTGTGCTTTTTAAAGTTACTTTATAAATTGAATAAATCTGGCACTGTGTACACACACACACATCAGAAATCCCAGGAGTTATTCTACCCAGTGAGAGTTAAAGTTAAAGCCAATAGGTGTGAGATTTGAAAATGTCTTTGTACTAACCTGGACAAAGCATGACTCCTGAATAAAGTAATGTTTCCTAAAAACTAAACCAAAATTTTTACACACATACTTTTGAGTGCTGTGTAGGAGGTGCAGTATTTGCTGCACACTGTAAAATTACAACTGGCACAAAGGTTGTACAACATCTAAGATACCCAGAAAGTCTAGTGTGAATCTTACTCAGTGGTCACCAACCTGTTTACCACTGTTTTTCATCTGCACAGATGGTACTCCAATTTAAAGCAATATAGAAGCAAGTGCAAATCCCCCTCTATCGTCCAGGTCTGTGTTCAACCTTCAGTCCTGCCATCACCACTCTGGTCCCTAGCCTGTCAACTTCTATCATTTAAAAACATAAACAGGAATACAAGTCAGACAGGACTCCTCTTGGAACAGATAAACAAAATGCCATTTCTGCTGTTATTTTTTAAGGATCCCATTTTTTTTTCTCCAGGTGTGTCTTATATAACATGTACATTAAAAGTTAGTTTCCTCTGTTCACACTGGCACTTGCAGTAAGTGATCACTTCCTACATTAACACCAATATAAGAGACATCCTGTCCTTATTCTACACCAATATCCATTCCAGTGTTGACCTGGAGCGAATCTGAGGCTTCAGCAGGCTGAGATTGTTGTTACCATCTTTCCATGCAGCTTCGTATGATGAGACAAAGATTTTGTTCTAAAAAGATTTAACTTTGGAAGACACCCACTGCAGGAGCCTCACATTAGCTTCGCCCAAACCTGTGCATGTGCCTGGCACAAAAACTAGATTTTGTCCTTTATCTCTTACCTTGTAGTTGCTTTAGAAGAGGATCATTACTACAGTGATCAATAACTTTGTCAATGAGTGGTGTACTAAGACACACCTGAAAAGTGTGGACCTTTCCTTAGCCCCCCCCCTCCCTGTTTTCGTCACCTACATGGTCAAAAGTGAGAGCAAATTTAAACTAGAGTCTCTCTCGAATGGTCCCCATCACAAAAGCAAGGCAGGCAGACGAGGCAGGCGTCATCTTTGATTCAAGACACTATAAAACCTAAAGCAGAGATTTAAATATGGATAGTCCCTGTAGAGTCAGCTCTTCTATGCATCTCAACAGTCTCATCAGCCTAAATATTTAGATCAAAAATGAATCATACATGTCTGTAGTCGGCTTCCCCAAAAATGTCTATTCAGAATGGATATAACTCAGAGTAAGCAACACGGGGAATATTCATCTAGGCAAGAAACCAAACAGTCCTGTCTTCTGGCTCCATGCCATCCCTGACAAAGTTAGGTCAGTGCAGTGTTTACTTCAAACCAGCCAGTGAAACCACTGTGAAGACTCTGGATCCATTAGTTATTCATCACCACACTGGTTCTGATGTGTCACCCTAGCCAGCCATGCTGATGCAGCGTTTAGGTGAGGGGACCAAGTCCTTCAGGGCAGAGGATACAAACCAAACATTGTGTCCTCTGCTGTTTCCATTTTACATGTCAGTACACCAGCTTCTGCCACTGCAGCTATGGACGCTAGTCAGGCATATCGATGCACAGCTTAGGCGGTGGGACGAAATACTTCCCAGGGCTCTGTGTGATCACCACGCCTGTCTTTTTGTGGAACATGGGGGCAATCTTTGGTGGTGGCTCAGGGGCGGGCAGATCCTCAACTGCCTCAGAGTCCTCACTGCGCTGGAGATCATAGGACACATTGCCGTACTCTCGCAGGAAGGGGAGGAGCTCCAGCAGGAAGTGGCAGAAGTCCTTACGGATGCCAAACCACCCTATGGAGCATCAGAACAGAGGGGAGCTTGCAGCAGCAATAATCATTTGTGCACAGTAAAAGGTGTCCTGGTTAACTGGTACCAAAACAGTACAGAACTGTTAAGTATAAAATTGACAACAGCTGAACCAAATAGTCAATGTACAGCAAATTTTGACCATCAAGTAATTATTTAAGCCACTTTTTAAAGTTAAAATGAGGAACATGTCCTGGATCCAGCCTGAAATGTAGAAATACTCTGTAATTCTCTGAAAACAAGATGCAAAAACGTCATCTTACACCGAGTAAAACTGTAATGGTCGTTTTTCACTACTATCTGATATTTGAAAATGATTTACTAATCACTCAATAGTGAAGATAATCATTAGGTGCTACCCTAGCACTGTCACACAAAAGGAGAAAATCTCTAGGATAGAAGAATACATTCAGCTGGCAGGGAAACCTGTACATACAATATGTATTGTAACCCAATTCTGCCATAACATCACTCGTTAGATGTTTAGTTTTTGATATTGTCAGAACTATGTAATAATTATACCTTGGACTGTAAAGTTTAACAAAAGCTATCTTAAGGGAAAGTATCAGAAGTGTAACTACTGTGATCAGGAGCAGAAAAGAACAGTGATAAAATGCCAGCAGAGACATTCAGCAGCCCACAGCACATTACAGGCTTGAAATACTCACAGTGGTTCCCTCCCTTCTGGCCAAAGGTGGTGGCCATGAGTGTGAGCAGGGAGAGCCAGAGGGGGACGAACACACATACATAGCTCAGACTGTTGTGACCATCCAGCTTATGTACCAGGAGGATCTAAAGAGACAAGTAAAAGGTTGTCACTGGGAGTGGGCATGTATTAGAGAGGCTGTGTCTAAATGTTCAAAGTGATTTCACATGATCATTTTGAGGATGCCAGAGAGGACACTGGCTCATTACAGCTGCAAAAATCTATTTGGTAAGAGAGATGCGACAGAGGGGGATGTTTAAGTGTGTATGTGGACTGATTTAAAACAAACAAAAAAAACACAAAAATCAAAAGCAAACAAAGGAGCAGCATGGCTACTGACAAAGTCTTGTACAATCTTTAGACTATTTAGTTCATTTTCACTTTGTTCCAAAATGAAATGAACATTTGAGGTTTTGCTTTACATTGAGCCATTAGGTTTTTATATCATATCTGGGCATCCTATATGCAGTTTAAACTTAAAAGAACTATATGTGTTTTAGGCAAGTAGAAGGTAAGGCAGGATAAAGTATTATAGTAACTTGCTTTAGATCCAACTTCCCTATTTAATGTGGTAAGAGAGGCACTACAAAGGGGGATGTTTAATTGGTGTGGGTGAACTTAAATGAAATTAAAGAAACATTTAAAAGTTCTAACTTAGGTTAGAGAAAATAAATGCATGATATCAGATGCAACTGTTTCCCACACTGTTGGTTAATTGGTAAGTCAATGTTACAAAAAAATGTTAATAAAAATGTGTGCAATGTCACAGCTTTATACTAAGTAATACTCGGAATAATTAGCAGTGAAACTCACTTCAAAAGTGAGAAGTGGTACAACAATGGTCATCCAGCCGATTGCCATGGTGATGTGAGTCCGCCGCTGCTCAGCAATGATGTCAATGGAGCGGAGGAAGAGGACGGACCAGATGATGTAGTAGAGGACAACAAGGCACAGGAAGGACATCAAGATCCACAGTGGGACACATACCACCTGCAGACCATACAAAGATATCATCAAAGAAGTAGTCAAGAACAGTAATATAACCTTGACGTTTTAACACATGGTTGAGGACTAATTCAAATAGTATCCCATATTGTTAACATGTAATGCACATATAGATTGTACTTGGAATAATGGTGTAGAGAAAACAAGCAACGGTTAATTTCTGATCTAGTCTGTGTCAGTGTATCTCACCAGCCAAGGCCAGTTGATGATCCTGTCTAGCTTCAGAGCGATGAAGATGAACTGGAGAATGTTAACTGAGCACAACACCTCCAGCTGAGGAGAGGGACAATCAGGACAAAAGGTCAGCATTGTACTAACATAAGGCAATAATGGCAGCTGTGATAGTCAGTTTCTCCTGCAAATGTCTAGCATCTCAATTTCAAACATGCAGCTTTGAAGCTTTCCTCTTCTCTTTTTCTAGAATACTGTTCTGCATTTGGGCATGGAAACAAATGTCTCTGCTTGCTTTGTGTGTTGTTTGCATGAGGAGCAGAAAAGGTAACAGTATATTATATACCGTGCTTCATACAGTGACAGATCCTACAGTTGGCTTTTTGATGCATAAATATCCCTGCCAGCACAGAAAACATGCTTGAAATATTTGCTGAAATCATTCATACTGTAAACTATAACAATAAACTAGTCTTATCCTGTTTACCTACAGGGGCTGCACATGTATAGTCACAGTGCTCATTTCTGAACCCTCTCCTAACACAGACTAGCTAGTGATAATTAGAGTACAAATATTTGGCTTTAGTTTTGCACTGTTTTCCCACTCTGGTCTCAGTCTACCCTCTGACGTATCACATGCCTTTACCTCGAGGGAGCGGTCATGTCTAAACCCCCAAACGCAGGCTGCTACAGAAACGGGTGACACGAAGAAGAGGGGCATGAAGACAAGAAGCCAGAAGTAGTTCCCTCTTGCCACACGGTCGCACACTAACACCTCAAACATCAGCAACAACACATGGAGCCCCACTGCAATCAGCATTGCTTTAAACTCCACACACGTCTCCCCTTCAGCCCTAACAAAGGAGACAGAAATCAAAATTCAAGATTTTGAGGGCTAACCAAACAAAATCAAAGATATATAGCACATATCATAATATAAGGCTAAAATCAAGTAGGATTTTGGTCACTAACATCATAAATCAGCTGTGATGTGATATATGATCTTGCCATTGTCAAGTAAATTTAACATAAATCATGAATTGTGGGAGAATTAGGAGTTAACCACTGAATAACAGATGTCCATGTATGTGAAAGTCTACCTGTACTGAGGGTTGTGAGCCCAGACCCCAGTGCCCACAGAGGCCCCAATGATGACCAACAGCTTCCACAGCCAGATCGGGGTGAACACAGCCCAGTAGCTCCACTGGATGACGCCATCCAGCCTCAAGGACAACAAGACGGAGAAGAGCAGCAGACAGGAGTAGATCAGGAACTTGCTGTAACAGGGAACAGCATGAGGCACTTTTGATAACAGACACCAATGAAAATGAAGTCCATTTGTCACCCTGAATTTTGATAGTTACAGCCAATGCTTATCAAATCAATAAAGTATTTTCCCCTAGACACAATCCAATAAGCTGGATTTGATTTGTGAAATGTGAGGGACAAATATCAAGTCTTAAAGAAGTATGAGAGAGTATATGAAACAACTGACTGCGAATGTCTAGTTTTAGAAAAAGTAACAAAAACGTCATCTACTTTAGGGTGACAGAAAGAAGTGTATGTCAGTAGGTATACATTAAATGTAAATATGTGCATAAAAAAAAAAGTTTGCCTCTCAAGTGCAGTTGAATATTTCTGGTTTTCTGTTGTCTTCTTTGATAGAACTTAACACGTTTGAGGTTTTGGACTAGCATTAATTATCGGACAAAACAGATTTGAAAATACTAGTTACCACTGGGCTTTAGGAAATTGGTCAAGACCTTTTATTATTATTATATAAAAATAATCCAGAGATAAACAACGCATATTTGCAGCCACGCTGAAGTGGTTGGAGCTTTATCTAACGTTATCAAAACTACAACGTTACTTTAGCTAGTATGTTAGCCAGGCCTTGTTCAGCCAGATAATGCTTTTCGATTTAGCTACTAAACTTATAGTTACCTTACTGCTTTGTCTATTGGTGTGCATACTAAACATATGTGTGTACAATTTCACACGTATAAAACAGACTTTTGGCACATTTTCGCATAGCAGAGCAACAAACGTTATCCAACCAATCATAGCTAGATGGGTAGCTAAAACGCTAAGTCGTAGCTAACGTTACCTGGGATTGAAGTCCTGAAAAAGTCCTCTTAAATTCATTGTGTAACAAAGACCAGTTGGCTATCTGGCATTAGTTTCCGGAGTTGTTATCCAATTCACCGTTTAACCTGTATGCTACATATAACAATTTCGATGTTAATCGAGCTTTTCGGCTCAGACATTATCAGCGTTTTACTAGACTGTTTTTTTTTTATGCCCAGGCGTTGTAGGGAGGTCATACGGGCACGTGGAGGCCACACACACTACTGAACCTCATTTTGACTTGTTTTGAGGACATTACATCAAAGTTGGATCAGCCTGTAGTGTTGTTTTCCACTTTAATTTTGGGTGTCACTCCAGATCCAGACCTCCATGGGTTGCTAAATTTGATTTCTATTGATAATTTCTGTGTGATTTTGTTGTCAGCACATTCAACTATGTAATGAACAAGGTATTTAATAAGAATATTTCATTCATTCAAATCTAGGATGTCTTATTTTTGTGTTCCCTTTATTTTTTTGAGCAGTGTACAATTCAATACAAACAGTTGCATTAATTGCGTAACAAAATGCATCAAATAAAAAAGTAGGCATAATACATGAAAGTAAGCTTAAGTAAACATAAACCACAACAAGAACAGGCAGGACAAAGTAAAACAAAATACCAGCGGTAAAGTTATACTGACATAAAATTTAAAAATTGAAGAGTTCAGTGGTTTTGGTCAGGTTTTGTTAGAATGATTTAAGTGTGACAGTGTTTGGAAGTAATTGCTCAGATCAGATTGTTTAAAAGTTGTAAAAGATGGTGATTTATTTCATTTTAAGAATGAAGAAACTGGCCAAGAACAAAAGTCAGTCCTAAATACTGTCACATGTACACATAAAAAAAAAAGATGCTGTAGAGTTTCTAGCTCATTGTTGCAAAAGGAACATTTTTCTTCAATGTTTGGAATGTATTTACAAATAATGGAAAGAAAAGTTCTTTAACATTGTTGGACAATACAAACTGTAGGGTAGAGTAAAAACAGTGTTCCATATTCTTCGATCAAGGGTTTGGTATGCTTATTTGTGTTTACCAGCTATTGTTCTTCTTGGAGTGAGGGAGTGTTGAATCTTTGGTCAAGGGTAGAAATGCCAGTAACAGAAATAGCTAAATTGATAGAATTGTGCGCATTTGAATGGGAGCATGCTAAACAAAGAATTCATTAATAACAGTATTATACTAATGGTGGGAGACAGGGACCCTGTACTTATCTATGAAGTGCTCATATGAAATAGATCCATCACATTTAGACTCTTGTTGTTGTTGCTGTTCCTCTTCTTCAATATATTTAATGGCTGGTGGCAACTTCTTTATTTTATTTTTTAATAGAAATACAGTTCAATGCAAATTGTTGTATCAATTGCATAACAGGATGCATCAAATAAACAAAAGTAGGCATAATACAGTATGTAAGTAAACATAAAACGGAACAAGAAAAAAAAAAACAGCCAAGACAAAGTGAAACAAAACACCAGAGGTAAAATTATACTGAAATAAAATTTTAAAAAGCGGTCAGTGGTTTTGGATCATCTGATTAACTGCAATTAATGATAGCCATCCCTCATTTATGAGTGGTAATTGGTTTTAAGCCTTTTCAGTTTTAAAAGGATAATAGTAAGTATGCTTAATATCTGAGTGTCACAAAAATCACAGTCTAGCACCTGAAGTGAAGATGAACTTCATGCATTCTAGTGTCTGTAGTATAGTTTTGTATCATACAGTCCCCCATGGCAGTGTAGATGACATCATCAGAGGGAAGCAGAAAGCTTCATGTCGTTACAGAAGATAGTTTTGTTTTGAATATTTTTTGTATTTTGCTTTATATGCTCTTTGCCCTCATCCCCGGGTTTAGTTTTTTTCTTCACTAAACATAACATTTCTCACATTCAGTAATCCCACAATCCACAGTCATCAAAAGGACTTACATGAAATATACATAACATTTCTTTAGTGCACCTGAACTATCAAATGTTTTTCATCAACTGATAATGTGAAATGGTTCTGACAGCTATTTTCTATTTTCACAGCTGATCTTGGGAGGGATGTTTATGATCATTATAGGTTAAGACCTTTATATATTAACATGCAGTTTTTAATTGGAAAAGATGGCTCATTCCATCTTCGTACTGGCCCACCCAAAACACAATTTCTTCCTACACCACTGCCATGAGGGGGAGAGGGACAGTAATGTATTATGGTTTGCATGACTAAAATTTGGAGGAATGCTATAACATATATCAGCTCCAGAATGTTCAGTTTCTCTGGGTTCCTCTGTCAGTAAAAAAAACACCACAGATCTGGTGATTTCAATACTGTATACAACAAATGGACAGTTCTCATAAAAAAAAATATATGTTATAAAAAATTAATAGAGAAAGTTATTGCTGCTTTAAGCACTCGGTAAAAATAAATTAAAAATATAATACAAAATGTAAAATATATATGAAATACATTATTGGCTATTGATTTGTTGGGTTGACTAGTTGAAATATTGGTTAGCGTACTGTATAAACAATGTCACAATGTGTATAGTAGCTGCTCTTTTTCTCTTTCATGAGCAAGAAACGATCACTCCAACGAAAAATGATCAGAAGCCCTTTTCTTTGCTTCAGCTCGAGCTGCAGGAAAACAAGAACATAGATCCATCATTTCCAGATCTGCAACCAGGGCTTTAGTTACCACTGAGGACACCGAGGTCACATTTTCTGTAATATTTCAGGTTGTCTGGGAGGTTGATAATAATGATCACACACATAGTACATATAGAGTAACGTTATTCTCATTGTTTTGAAATATCTTTTTATGTAAAATAAGTACAGAATTTCCACAGGAATTCCTACCTTTAGCCCTGTTTCTGTGCACAGTCACACACACTATGAGCATCACAATGTGAAGGATCATCAGCAGGATAGTACACACCAGCCTGGGCAGAGAGATGGGAGGAGGAGGAGGAGTAGGAGTAGTAGTAGTAGTAGCAGTAGTCGTAGTCGTAGGAGGAGGAGGAGGAGGAGGAGTAGGAGGAGGAGACTGAGCTCTGACTGTGAGGAGGAAAAAAAACATTTGACTGGTTGAATCAAAAGACCAAAGAAATTCATCATTAGTTCTGTTTCTATCCAAATATGACACAAGTTAAGCTCAGAAGCCAACCTTTAGTGTTCACAGCCAGCCTGCTCTGTGGTGACTCCCCTTTTGTGGGATGTTCACACTTGTAGAAACCTTCATCAGACAGCGACACTGTCGAGAAGGTCTTTCTCCCTTCAGCCTGAGTGCCAATGAAAACGTCATCTTTGTAGAAGTTTGCAGAGAAATTGAAAGTGACATTGTGGTCGTTTTCTTCCTGGTAGTAGCAGAGAATTGTCACTTCATCTCCTTCTGTCACAGGAAATGCAGGGCTGTCCAGGATCACAACACCATCTGATAAACAAAGCACTTGTCACCATTTTACTCCTGACACAATTGATCAGATGAAAAACAGCAAGAAATTCCAAGTAAACCATTTTGGTTTGCTATCAAATCAGCAGGGCATAAATTCTAAATAAAATATAAATACTTAAAAACATGCACATTAGGAATTACCAGCAACAGTGATGTTGACAGCGTTACTGGATGCCCCGCACTCAGACTCACACCAGTACACTCCAGTGTCTGATGGATAGACATTCACAATGGTGCAGGACGACTCATGTAGAATTCCCCAACCGGGGTCGCACAACTCAGAAGTTTGCAGTGAAGTGTTTCTCTTCAGCGTCCAGCCACTAGAGTTTCCAGCCACAGCACAGCTAAAAGTGATGGTGTCATACTGAAAAAACTGAGATCTGTTGGGACTGATGTTCAGCGTGGCTAATGCCGGGTCAAACAGAAAATAAAATAAATAATTTTAAATCATCAAGTAGAGATCTGGTCCATGAAAGATTGTCTAAAAACATACTTTTTCCTTTTGAAAACATCTATGAGGTGTTCAAACTGACTTACATTTTCCTTTCATGTACGTATATACACAAAGCAAAGTCTTTCTTAAGAACTTCCTACTTAAGCACAACAACACTTGAAGATGCAGTTGCGAACAGGACATGAAACAAAAAGGAGTTATAGGTTCGCTAGTCTGTGTACACACATCATTTAAAAAACAATAAGACAAAAAATTGTCATCTCCTTGAATTGTAAAAGATTTCAAACAGCCGATATCTGTAATCAGTTAACTAGTGCATGGAACTGATTTCTTCCTGTTCTTTAAATCACTAAAACTGCATTTAAAGGCATAAAAGGAGGCTACAGGTGGGGGGAAAAGGAAGCAGGAGGGAGTATTGCAAAACAAACATAAAAGTAAAATTACTCACATAGCACGGTGAGGCAGAGTGAGGCGATCTCCATCATGATTTGATGCTGCCCGTCTTCCTCTTCTATGGTAACATTTCAGCCAGCAGTCAGCCCACATCCTGACTTCACAGGAAATCACAACTAAAAAAAACACCAAAAAAACCGCCCCAAAAAAACAACCAATTGGTTATCTAGACCATTTCTCTAATGGTCACTTAGCTGCAGTTTAAGGTTTGAACTGGGGTACAACTCATGTTTTCTGGAACAACAAGGTCACTTAAATGTCATGTATCATTGGAAAATGTGGTTTAACAGGCAGGAGTCACCCAAATTGAACAGTTCTTAAACCCATTTCTGTAAAGGAAAGTCGGCTATCATATACTGTATAAGTATAGTATAAGCATAAACTTTATTACCAAGTATTATCAAAAATACAAAGAATCTCACTAAAGCCCAATGGCCCCCGATGTGCACAGCAATATAAGAAGAGAATAAAACCCAAACCACAAGTAAAAAATACAAGACAAAAATGTACACATATACATATATACAAGTTAAAAAGCTACGAAGTGTAAGAATGTATGTAGAATTTAATGAATACATATAGCTGTAAAATGTGCTTTAAAAAATGTGACAATTCAGGTGACTGCATTTAAAACTCAATAGAAACCAGTCATGGCATTTAAAAGGCAGTGACTTATAGTAAAAACCTCAATACACACAACGTGAAATGGACAGAATACATCTGCACCGACTTGGTACTGCAAGAGTTCTGAGCAAACAACAACTCAACAGTTTGTTAATACTCTAACATGTATTATGTACTATATTAAAATAAAGGCCGTTCATGCCTGTTTGAACTATCAAAAATCACAATGTCATGAAAAAGCTTAACTGCAACCCCAATCACCTCATAAAACACCAGGAAAACCCATGACTTCTGGTAGCTTGTGCACTCCTGCCCCCGGGTGGCCTAAGCTGAGTACTTGCACTAATCAAAAAAGTGACACAATGTCATCAACAGAGTGCTTTTCAACTGTTTTTAAGGCTTTAGAATACTGCTTCCTGGAGTGAGACAACACTATTTATATTTTGTAGGAGAAATAAGTAAAACTGTTAAAATACACACAAATGTATGTATTGAACACTGAAAGAATACCAGTACATAGCCAGACCCAGCAAATCCAAAGCGCTATAACTGTGTAATGTGCAAAAAATATATGAAATAAAGGGTCTGCACCTGTTATCAGTGGTGGAAGAAGTTCTCAGATTAATTACCTATGTAAAGGTAGCAATACCACAGTGTAAAAGCACAGTGTATTACAGTCATATTTCTGTTATTTCTGCTCATTCTGAAGCAACAGCTCTGAGTCTTCAGGTAAATCAGACAGGACAGCGAAGCGGTTAGAAGACACGGTGTATCTCCGCTGGATCTTGGCACCATTAGAATGAGGCCGAGACTCAGACACGCTCTTGGAACGGACGAGAGGCTTTGTCTCTGACGTGGAGGCTGAAGAAGGAGCAGGCAAAACAGTGTCATCACTTCTCACAAGGACAGGACTGCTGTGATACTGACTGCTTCTTTGGACTGTGGGGCTTAAGGCTGAGATTTGTCGCGCTTGGTGCTCATGTGGTAATTGTAGGCTGGTCGTGCTGCAGGGCAAGACCATACCACTAGATCTCAGGAGGTTTAGTTCTCCTTCCAGTTGGCGGATGCGTCCCTCTTTTTCACCAAGGTTTGACTCCAATTCCTCAATTTTTCTCAGATGCTCATTGGTAACATTTTGAGCGCTGTCAGCCTCGTAGCTCTGGTGGTTTCCTTCTGCATTCCTGTTTGTTGTACTTTGGTCTGATGACTCTGTGGACACTGGCAATTTTTTTCTCATCACTGTGTGAACAAAAAAAATTAATAATAAATACTTGGGTGATTAGCATGTTAGCAGTTAGCTCATCACCTAACTAGCTTAACAAGTAGTCACTACCTCACCAAGATTCTTTAAAAAAATCTTTTTTATATAGATAATTTTATCATTTCAATGCTGTTTGCTGCTGTGAACAGGCCTGAACAGCACAGTAACCACTACACTGACAAAGAGCTAAAACAAGAAACTCAAACTATTTATGTCTAGTTTGATGATTAGTCATTAATCCTGCCAAACAGTCTCTAGTTCTAGCTTCTAAATAGTGAAATTTGTGTGAGAGTCGCTGTGTTACTTTGTCTTATTTGATATGAAATGGATTGCCTTCGGGTTTTGGACTATTGGTTGGATAAAACAAGACAATGAAGACATCAACGTTGGTGACACCTTTAGGAAACTGGGACAGGTAATATTTAACAATTTTCTGACACTTTAAAGACCAAACCCAAAATTCTTTGCTAGACTAATCTATACTGAAGATACTAAAAGCTTTCCTAGGAGGCAGCATGGTGGTCGGACTTATGTCACCGCCAGAAACAAAGCTGGAGTCTTTCCTGAAGGCTCTCCGAGCACTCGCTGCCAAGAATGTTTTCATCCTTTTCAGCAAATGTTCAACAACTGACTAACATTTTACACTAAACCATTCCTACAAAAGTCATGTGTACCAACTATAGAATATGGCAAAGGTTAAAGAACAATTGTAGTTTTGCTTAAATCTTAAAATAAAACATTTCTTTAAGTGTCAGGAGAATGGGAACAAATGACATTATGTTTTTAAGAGCATGACTTACCACAGCTGTAACATTTAGAGGGAAATTTGCCCAGGAATACTCCACATAGAAAGGTTACTGCAACAGCAACAGCAACAGCAATGATGATGTTTACAGTGCAGGACCTCATGCAGTCAGCTGAGATGATGATAAAGATGACATACGAACATTATGTTATTTCAGAAACACTGGGCCAACATTATTTGGAGCTACTTTCTGCCAAGCTGTCTGCTTTTTCAATTCAGTTTAACCAAACTAACCAAACCTTCTGCTAATAACAAAAACAAATCCAGTGCTAAAGCAAGTTTGAGTTTTTAATCCAGATACAGATCATAGCATATGGACTCCTGCTCTGTACAGTAAGGGTTAAAGCATACAGGTGAACTGTTAAAGCTCCAGTGTACCTGGAATGTAAATCTCTGTGTCCCTGGTCTCGTTTATCTGAGGCTGGTGAACTCTGCAGGTCACCCTGTGATGAAAACACATCAGATTAAGTTTTCATTCACAGATCTTCTTGTCGAATTTAAAACTTAACTGAGCACTGAATTAAAATGAAACCTCTCCGTGGCAGCCGGGACAGTCACTCGCTTCGTGACTCTGAAACATCCCGTGGAATCTTGATCTCTCCTTGCATCTTCAGCACTGATGTTGTTTCCCTGATTATCAAGAAATGTAATCTGAGGCGCTGGTGACCAGCAGTTTGTCTCACACTGCAGAGTCACTCCACTGCCAGCGTTTGGAATGAAGGAGAGGTTTGGCACAGAGACAGCAACTACAAAAAAAAAAAAAAAAAAACAAGGAAAAAGATTACACAAGGTGTGACTATGAAACTTTCCATCCCAGAACCAATACTCATAATCATTATGGACAAGACTTTGGTAAGCAATATTAATGTGGACTTTGTGAGAAATGAATCTAAACAAGTTCTGTATTTGATTAAAAGAACTTTACAGACTCTTTCATGCATGAAAAAGACAAAAATAGTTTAAACTTTTGAGAAAACATATTCATGTTCCTGCTATGAGGCGGATTAAAAGACATCTGTAGCTTGCAGCATGTTAGCTTGGCGTAGACACTGGTAACGAGAAAACCGAGAACCTGGCTTTGCCCAAACGAAACAAAATCCACCTACTGTGTGTGTAAACACAAAAAGCCAAGGTTTTCAGAAACTGCCAAGCACAATAAGAGCAAGCTATAATGTCCCTTCTCCATAATATGAAAATTAGTAGTGTTTGTAGACCATAATGCAACTGCACAGTTTTTATTTCTTTTTTTTTCCTTTTACTAAACATACCCACAATGAGCTCCAGTGTTTTAAGGACCTCAGGGTTCCTTTCCCAGATTACCCTGCACTGGTATATTCCTGCATCAGACAGCTGCACATTGGACATATGCAGAGAGATGTCCCCTTTTATCACTTCATTCATGATGAGATTTGTCCTGAACTCGAAGACTGGATTCTTCATCTCGAAGGTCTCACAGCCCTGTCGGTACAGGAAGGCGATGTTTGGATTCAGACCTTCCTTGGACCATTCCACTGTTGGAATGTCGCTGCTATGAGAAATGTGGCAGGGCAGAACGACTGTTCCACCAGCAGAGGCTCGGATCTTTTCTGACACTCCGTTCCCCAAGGTTTCACCTAAGAATACAACATAGAAACATGGTTGTTGCTTAAATTGTATTATTTTTTTTTTAGTGTCGAGTCCTATAAATCCTGCCCCATGAAAGGGGGCGCTGTGATCCTGGAAGAGACCACTCACCCTTTATTCACGTTAAATTAAATTGAGTAATTTTTCCCAAATGAATGAATAAGTGGACTACACTGAATAAAGTGTAATGATATTAACACATTGATCTCATCTGCTGCTGATGTGTGTGTTGTAAAAAACTGTGCATTAATTATTTGTGCCTCTGGATTAAAATGACAGCTCAGCATTTTATTTACCCGTTGCCATGGTGAATCGTAGTATCGGAGCTCCACTGATGATGGATTTATATAGTTATCAAGCACAAGCGTGTAACTCTGAATGAATCACCGCAAGAACTAACTCTGTTCAGCTGTTCCTGAATCAGAGAGTTTCCTATCTTTGGGTTAATCAGCCCACAGTTCAGGGTTAAGTTCAGAGTCTGGAACACCCAGCAGCAAACCTGCAGCCTTCCTGTGTGGTCCACTGTTGCTGCACAGCCTCATTTTCATGATAAAAATGATAATACAACTAAATAAAAGAACCCTTTGAAAACAAGAAGCATTACTTTACCAGAAGGTTTTCTGAGAGGCTTTGCGTCTTATCTTGGTAGTTTTCTATTTAGACATTATGTGCAGAGAGCTAACTCTCTTGTGGAACTC